AAACTTATACTCGACTTTTCTGCTGAGAAATTTGTAAAATAGCACATTCCAATTTTAATTATCAGGTGTTCGAAAAAAAATGCTCAAATCTTAAGACTGGTCAAAATGAGATGGGATGTCTACAGTAGGGCAGTGACATCATCTAACATTTGATTTATGTGTGCATCGTCATCGTCATCATCATCGTGATTCATGTCTATTAATCATATAAATATGGGTTAGCACCAAGGTTCTGAAAAGCGGTTGCGGTCGCTGTAACGGTGGCGGTGACGCGGTTGCGGTTGCGGAGTGTAAAGGCCGTAGTATAACGGTTGCGGTAATCAGAACTGTGAATTTTTTTATTTTTTGCACAATTTAAAAAAAACTTACCGATACGCATATTTTTTTTCCATGATCATATTTATTGGATTAAAAATAAATATTGATAAATTTTTATAAATTTTAAGTATGATGCAATATATTTCATATATTTAAATAACTATAAACTGAGTTTTTTACATTTTATTTAATAATTAATGACTTTATATTATATAAAAAATCAATCACTAACTATTATATATAAGATAAACAATGATAAAAGTAAAAGAATAAATAAGAGCTTAAATATATATATATATATATATTTTTTAACCAAGTCAAATAGATAATGACCACACTTAGGCCAAGTTTGGCATATACAAAATAATCCATCTTTTTATCTTTTTTCCATCACATCATCTGTCTACTTTTCTGCACATCTTTTCGTAAAAAGATAAAAAGTACACTTATTTAGGTCATCCCAAACAACCCCTTATTGTTATTATTATTTTCAAACAATATATAGATAGACACACACAAATAAAATGGTTTAGTGATAGCAGCTGAATAGAATAACATAGGTCTTACAGTTTTAACAAATCAATAACATGTGCTTCATCTTCTCTCTTCTCTCTCTCTATCTCTTGCTCCTCCATTTTCTCTCTTTATCTTCCCTCTTCTCTCTATCCCTCTTCTCCCATTTTCAGTTTTTTTTTTTTTTTGTGTTTTTCGAAAGAAACAGTTTGAAACCGTTACGTAACGGTGCGTAACAGGCCGTTACGGCTGTTACGGCACTGTTACGACCGCTACGGCAGCTGCTACGGCCGACACACCTGTGAATCTCAATCACACTGCAAAAGCGGCCGTAACGGGTGGCGGTAAATGCTAAAACCGTTACGTAACGGCGTTACGTAACGGTTGCGGCCGCTTTTTAAAACCTTGGTTAGCACAAAATATTTCATAGTAACAAAATAGTTAAACTAACACCATAACAAACATCATAAAAAAAATATTTATAAACATAACATCATAACAAACATAGGTTATCACAAAATATTTTATAAACATAATCATAACAAAATATTTAAACCGACATTGTAACAAACATGGGTTAGCACCAGTGGCGTAGCGAGGAATTTGATGGAGAGGAGGTACAAATTAATGATAACATCAGTGTGTTTGGTTTGAGTTTTTTGAATTAAATTTTTTAAAAATTGAGTTTTTTAGTTTTCGTGTTTTTTTATTTTAGTGAATATTTTTTAGATGAATTTTACTTAGATGTTTTTAAAAAATTTGTGAAAAAATATTTTAAAAAATTAATAAATACATAAAAATACAAATAATGTACAGAATTTTTCATATATATATTTTTTTTGTATTTTTGGTATTTAGTGAATTTTTAAAAAAAATTCACAATTTTTTTATTTTTTAGGTATATTTATGTTAGATATGTCTAAAAATTAAAAAAATTCAGTAAAAATAAATAAAAAAAACCCGAAAAACAAGAAAATAGAATTTTCTGAAAAGTATTTTTGGAAAACTCTAATCAAGACAATTTTTTTTATTTTTTATTTTTATAATAAACAGCAATGAGATATTACTAAACTTAAATATTAAGAGTCCATTTAAATAAATGTGAATCTTAAATTAAAGGATTTGAGATTAAATTTTATATAAATATTGGGGAGTAACTATTTATAGGTAGATTGAAAAATTAAAAAAGAAGATAAGTTGAGATAGAATAATATATTTTAGTAGAGAAATTCTATAAAACACACCATAAAAAAAAAATGTCTATCATATGTCGTAATTATGATTTTCGTGGACTTTAGTTATGACACATTATAGTGTTAGATATAATTTAGTTATAATTTCTTGCGGTTGTTATTTTGGCTATTACTATATACCAAGTAATAGTTAGTTATGACTCATTTTGATATTAATTATGATCTATTATAATTTTTTATTTTATTTTTATAATTGAAGATGTGTTACTTGATTATAATTATATAGTGCTCATTTTAGTTATGAATGGAAAAAAACATATGTAGTACAAACTTTACATATCAAATGTACATAACAATTCAATAAATTTCATATATCTTTATTGAGATTAATTATATTTGCATGTCAATAATTATAGGCATCACCATTATATTGAAATTTTTATAAATAATAATATAACTTATCATAGTCTTTTTACTTTCAATGAAAATAACCATTATTGTTCAAATAATTTTAAAAATATCATTGACATTTCACTTTAAATAATATTTTCATACCTGTGTGCCATCAACAAAACTGAGAAGCTGTGTAGCTTTCAGAATATTGTGAACTTGATTCTTCCAGATAATAAAGTTTGTGGCATCAAGTTTGACAGTGACGAAGGCATTCAGATTTGTAATGAGTAGTGCAAGATTTGGAGGTATGGAAGATGAAGAAGAAGATACAGCAGAAGAGGACAGATTCAGAGACGGCAGGGAAGATGCCATTGATGAATCCTCAAGAACTAATGCTCGCAAGAGATAAGTGGCTCTGATACCATAACAGATATTTTGCAGAAAGTAAAAATATTTTTTATTTTCAGAATGAATGAATATACAATTTACAGAAATGAAGATATTTATAAACTACACAAACTAACTCTGGTTCAAGCTAACCAATGCATAACAAACTAACTACCTCTAGTTTATTCTGTAACTAACTAACTACTCTGTTAATTATCTAACTGATCTGTAACTGTTTAACTGAAGCAATGATGTAGATGTGGCCACAGCAGTTGCAGATGCTGATGATGAGGAGGAATGATCATGGCTAAGCTTGATCATGGCTAGAGTATTGATATTAATTGATATTATTGAATGTTGTATTAAATGTATACAATGACTCTCTTACATATAAAAGAGAAAAACATACTCACCTACCACACTCAACTCTCACCTAACACACTTACATCTACCTTCCACACCTACCACACTTACAGTCCCCCTCAAACTCAATGAGGATAGATACTAACCAACTTGAGTTTGGAAAGAATAACAAAATAGGAAAATAAAATGACAAATAAAATAAAAGAGGATAGTAGACACTGTATAGTCATATCAGACCGTTGGTGAAGACGCTGTATGGTTGTGTCAGACCGTTGTAGGAGCTAACCGGAATCAATGTCGGGACAGTTTATGGGGTCATGCCGGACCGTTGTAGAAGCTAACCGGAATCAATGTCGGGACAGTTTACGGGGTCATGCCGGACCGATGTAGAGGCTAACCGGAATCAATGTCGGGACAGTTTACGGGGTCATGCCGGACCGATGGAGAAACTAACCGGAATCAATGTCGGGACAATTTATGGGGTCATGTCGGACCGTTGTAGAAGACACTGTATGAGTGTGCATATAGGCTGCCCAAAAGATATACATGTATATATATATCGAGCCCTCAAAAGTCGCGCCCTCAAATGGCGCGCCCACTGCATCAAAAGCCGTGCCCGACAGAAATCATCGAGCGGCGAGCCATCAAAAGTCGCGCCAAACACGCGGCGATGCACGTGATCGACAGAGCGCGTCTCGTCCTCTTCGTCATTGTCTTTATAAACCGATGCGGAGGCTGTGCAAACCAAACGAGTCTAAAACATCTTCTGAAACACTCTGCAACCAACCCTTTCTGACATTTTCAGTCTGAAATCGCTGCTTCTCTGAAACACTTAGCAACCCAAAACATGGCCTCTTCTTCCCGTTCAGCTACCCAGAACATGGCCTCTTCTTCCCGTGGTCTGCTCACTCTCTTTCCCGACCTCAACGAGTCCACAAGAGAAATAACTGGTGCGGTTGCCCTTGAACCTCAACCAAGCGCCCCAGGGTTTGCTCCGTTGAACTT